TTCCAATTCTGCTAAATTTACTGATTCAGGGTCAAAACTCCAACCGATCTGATCATTAGGGGTAGAAGACAATATTCCCAATTGTTGTCATTTAGTGAACAGAGTTGTTCAAGACAAGATTACCAACGTTAGATTTCAATGCTTTTGCTACCTGAGGAGAGTTAGCCGTCTCCAACTACTGTCCGTAGGCAGTCTTCCCCCTTAACAACGAGAAAAAATTGTATGAAACTGACTAAATAATATTTTTTTCCTGAATTACTAAACCTCATTTTCAAACCCGTCGAACTATTAAGTTTTTTTCGGTTGAGTTTCCGAGAGATACGCTGAGATCTCTCCAATATTAACCGAATTTTTCACCACTACACTCTTCTTGTCACAGCCCTTTCAGAGATTAGTGATGGCATCATTTATTCGGCTTTATACCGTTCATTCACTAAACTTGAACAAAATAAAATCAATGGGATTAGTTACTGTAATATGGTGCGTCCTTACAAGTGAACTGATAAGTGATAAGCAAGAAACTTTAGATTAATGAAATGTTTATTTTCAATCACCCATGTCTGTTAATTTTTTAAAACGTTCTCTGCTCACTGCATAATTACCTTTGCGAGTTTTTTAATATTCTTCTACGTAGTACGAAGAGATATATACTCAGAATCTGGTGGCAGTACTAAAAAAGATCTACGTTATTCCGAAAAGGGTTTTGGAAAAGGCATTTTTGTTTGCTATACACCAACGATCGTGACCACTCGGCATCCACTTACAATGCTCGTAAACTGTGCACTCACAGGACAATCCTTTGTCATTCAATTTTTACGCGAAAATTATGTCTACGGAGGTAGTTTGCATAGAAATTTCGTGAAAATCACTGCAACAAAGCGTGTGACGATTGCCTTGTGAAAGCACAAATTCACGCAAACATATTTGTGAACTGCTGCGTCATCACAAAATTCCCCATTCGTTTGCGAAAGTGTTCGTAACGGCTCTTATTTACAACACTACCGCCCTTCTTCATCCCTTCAAAAGTGAGACAATGCAATTCTTTGAAGTCAGTTCTCAAATCTTCTGCTCTTGACTGGTTTCAATTCACAATGATAAGTTCAATATATTGGTAGGATAGAAATTCCTAGCGCTTTTCCTCCTCAAACCCGTATTTTTAGAGATGAAGGAGGACTCGAGAAAGTACAAACCTGAAGACATCATCCGCTTGAACGTTGGGGGACAAAGGTGCGTACTTATAGTATCACTTTTCCGTTTTTACATTATTTGGGCTAACTTTCCCCTTCTTCAATTGTGTTATGAAAAAGGTACTTCGACTACTCTTGTTTTTGAACCAGATATGAGAAAAGTTACATATCAAATGTTGTTTGTGAGAATGTGGCAAAAGTTCTCTTGTGCAGTTTCCACATTTCCAGGAATTTGTTTATGTCAATGCGGTCTTCGTTTATG